TAATATTCTTTCTCTTATTATCTCATTTCCAACTGAACAAGAAAGGTAGAGAATAATTTAATTGATTTCCAACCACTTAGTCCTACTACCCTTTTCACTCTTCAATTCCAAAACTTGTGTTGCTATTCACGAAAAGCCCCATTAGTGTTTTGTTATCATACATGTATGTTTGCTTATGCAACCTTCATTTCAAATAATGCTTTATTAGTGAGCATTGCTGTATATGTCTATTGTTGCCTCCCATTTATATTGCTCATCAACCTACTTTCCATATAGGTCAAATTCCATTTTCTTTCTACTCCAAGAACCTTTTACTCTTTTTTTCTTCTCCTCTTTCTTACTCTCCTTAGTGTCTGTGCCAAATGTAAAATTTAATTTGTTTACGGTATGCAGATAGTACAATTTAAGGTTTTTAAGCTTTAAAAAAATAAAAGATTATTTAGTGACAGCGGTTAATCTTGAACTTATTGAAATAGAACTTATTTAACTACACTGTTTTAGGATTATTTGTCCCTGACAATCTTCCATTTGATTTTGTAGCTTGTTTCTTGGGAAGAAGGTGGATATACAACATCAGACAAACCAATGCCCAGAGGGGAGATTGTGATTGGTGGGCAGAGTGTGACAGTTGGTTACTTTAAGAATGAAGATAAAACTAGAGAAGTCTACAAGGTATTATCGATTTAAATTTTTACTTGCTTCTGCTGATAATTGTCCAGAACTTTAATTGTCTTGTTGTCACAAATTTCCAGGTTGATGAAAGAGGGACGCGTTGGTTTTACACGGGTGACATTGGTCGATTTCACCCGGATGGATGCCTTGAAATCATCGATAGAAAGAAAGATATTGTAAAGCTTCAACATGGAGAATATATCTCCCTTGGAAAAGTAGGTCCATGGCACAATGTCTTTTGAACTTCTTGTCTTTATCTTTAGATTTATTTTCACCCAGCAACGAGATCAGCATCAACATTAATGCTAACCCTGTTCCTGGACAGAGCAGGGTAAGGAGGTTTAACATATGCGGCCTTACCCTTGAGAGGTTATTACCAGTAGCAGTTAATCTGAGATACAATGTGGTTTGGTACTTCAGAATGAATAAGATGTGCATTTACTTTAGTGGGCTATTTTAGTTTAGTTCATTATATTCCAAAGGCTAAAGACAATGAGCCTCTTGGTCCCTCTAGAAAGAGACATCTAGGAACATTCAATTTCAGAAAATGTCAGCAATTATGTCTTTGCTTTATTCCTTTGTTAGAAATCATGTATTTGATTCATTGCATGGATTTTCAGCCTTCAATGAATGAATGAATGTAGCAAACTAGCAGTGGTTGACTAATGATTGAATAAACAAGTTTATAAGATATAGCTTTGCTGCTTTCACTGAGTTTCATTCTTGTCCTGTCTTATTTGGAATGATGAATATGCATCCCATGGATGCCATTACTGTATTATGTTGGCTAACTTGGCTTCCTTGTCCTATTTGTTAGAGGACCAACTCAACCAAAAGCTTAAGCTTATGGTTGAAGCCCAGGATCGGTTTATATACTCTATCATGCCCCCTCACATGAGAGCCCATTAGGCTTGAAGTGTGGATATAGCATGGGCCCCACCATACCCAGCATTTTAATATTCCACTTTGAAAGCAGGGGTGGATAAGATTCGAACCCGTGACCTTTGTGTCACGCTAGCTCTTGATACCATGTTAGAAGACCAACTCAAAGCTCTTGGTTGAGTTGGTCCTCTAACATGGTATCGGAGTTAGCGTGACACAAAAATCATGGGTTCAAATCTCATCCACCCCCACCTTCAAGTGGAATATTTCGCGCAGGGTATGCGGAAGGCCCATGCTGCATCCATATTTCAAGCCCAAAGGGCTCTCAAAATGTGAGGGGAAGTGATAGAGTATAAAAACATATTCTTGGGCCTCAACCATTTTGGTTGAGATGGTCCTCTAACACTATTTAATGGGTGAAGCTTTGATTTAGCATGTTGATTAATATTTGACGTTTGTTCACTGTTACAGGCCGAGGCAGCCCTTATGTCAAGCAATTATGTGGAAAATATTATGGTACATGCAGATCCATTTCATAATCATTGCGTAGCACTTGTTGTTCCTTCACATTCAGAATTGGAGAAGTGGGCTCAAGAATCTGGCATCCAGTACAAAAGTATTTCTGAGCTTTGTGACCATCCTGAAGCAATCAAGGAAGTCCAAGCATCTCTGTCAAAGGTTAGTTGTTGCCAATAGCGTACTTTTACCCAGATAAATGTGTACCTTGCTGGCAGAAAGCATGTTTATTTATGGGAATGAGCTGAACATTTAGTTGAAGAGAATGAGTAGGAAATATCACAATTTAAATTCTTGGTACATAAAACTCACGCCGCAAAATAGCCTGCCTGGCTATTCCTAGTTACTATTATACTTAAAACTTATTCTAGGTGGAGCTCTGTAGCAGGGCTTGGCTCTAATAAACAATCTAGCTTACCAAGTCAAGTCCTTGCCACCCTGTCCCCTAATGTGAAGAAAACATTGGAAATATTTAAACTGCGTAGTTTTTAAAAATATATAAAATAATTAAAAAACAAAGAAGGAATTCAAAATTTAAGTGATTAATAGTCGGGTCACAGTTAGTTAACTACTCCCTCCATATTTTATTACTTGTTCCACTTTCCTTTTGTAGCCGTATTTTATTACTCGCTCCATTTCCTTTTTTGGAAACTTTTAACAACATTTTAGTATTTTCCTCCCAACTAGTGGTCCCCTCATATCATATTTTAATATCTTTCATATTCTCTCTCCTCCCCACTTATACTCAGTTACCCACTTTTGTTATTTTACATTTTTTTATTCTCCAACCAACCCCACTTCCATCATATTTTATTACTTTCAACCATTCCTCCTAAAACTCCGCGCATGGAGAAATGGAGCAAATAATAACATACGGAGGGAGCAATTAATAAGCAAAATTAAATTTTATGAAAGGCGGCATCTAAACGATTTACAACATCTATATGAAAATTGAAAAAAAAAGAATGAAGGTGAAAGAAAAAGAGTAAAAAAAGAACGAATTATTTCCCTTTCTTTTGTTGAAATAGAATGGGTAGTGATATTTGCCAAAATCGTTCCCGTAACGTCCACTGATCAAGCGTTGATCATATCCAAATTAAGGTCACCGAGTCACTCGTTCAAGTGACTCTTAGTGAGTTGTCAAGCCTGGGTTGTCCTATCCCTGTTTCGTAATGTTAAGGGCTATTGGTGTCCTTTTGAGCTCGTGTTATTGTTAACCAAAAGCTGTGTGTTCTATGCTCTTCTTTCCATTCTCCAAGATCAACGGTATATGGGATACAAAGATAACAATGGTATTGTTGGGTATCTCCTGAAGCATGTTCGAAGGCTATTACATGGGTTTTCAAACCGACTGTTTCTTGCAAGGACGATGTTATGTAGGTTTATTTGTAATGTTTGTGTCATTGAAGCTAGTAAAGCTTCTTTGGGTAGTTTACCAAACTTACTCCATATTGTGTAATTTTAAAAGTTAATTAAGCATATGTAAAAAAAAAAATAATAATAAATAAATAAATAAAAATAAAAAAGATCATATCCAAATTCATTGACCGTTCCCTATTGGAGACGTATCCTTGGGATACCCGTATCATCTTCGTACCTAATATGATTATATGAAAGGAAAAAAGGTTATACAGCAGGTAGATAATATGTAATAGAAGTATAGAACCATAGAGGCCTATTTAAATATTTAATCAGTGTTTGTCTTCTTTCTCCGTTCAAACAATATTCTTGTGTTGTTTCTAACACACTCTATAACCTCTTTAGTCTTTCACTTTTTCTTTGTTCTTTATAATTGCATTTTACATTTAACATTGTTTCTTAATTTCTATGCTCTTACCTTATTGTGTTCATTGTAGGAGGAATGATAAAAACTTTTTTTTTCATTTCTGTTTACAGGTTGGAAAGGATGCAAAGCTGGATAAGTTTGAAATTCCTGCAAAAATTAAGTTATTACCTGATCCATGGACTCCCGATTCAGGATTAGTAACAGCCGCCCTTAAGTTGAAGAGGGAGCAACTTAAAACCAAGTTCAAGGATGACCTTGAAAAATTATACGCATGATGGAAATGGGTAATTTATTTTACTCGATACAAAGTTCACACTTTCGGGCCAGGTTACTCCTGCTTGGCCTGACTTGTAATCTGTGGCTCTATGCTTAAGGTTTTGTGCTGGTAAAAGACTGAATTGTTTACAGGGCCTTACAATTTTTTCATTGTAAGGTTCAAAAGCATGTCTAGTTGAGCCAAAAGACCTTTTACTTTTTATTTTGTGGATAGAATGAGATGAGATATTGTTGATGAATACTGAAATTTTAAGCTATTTTTCGATGTCAGCTGAATTAGATTTCATAATTTGCTCCATTTCTGAAATCTTTGTTTTACTACTAATATTGGATGTGTTAACATATACAATGAAAGCTTTCAGAGGCAGATTTCAGGTAAAGTCAAAGACAGGATTGGACAAGATCAAAAGAGAAAGGATTTAAGCCAAATTCTGTTTCCAGTGACATTTTTTAGATCAAAATGCTAAAGAACCCTTGCCCTGTTTGGTAGGTGCCTAGGCCGTAATTTTTAGTTGTAACGGTGATGAGTATTGAATGGAACTTTTTGAGGAAGTTCCAATCAAACAACACCATCTTCCACTTCCTAAGAAAACTTATCTCTTTGTTATCTTTTGTCAACCAAAGAAGCTCGATCCTCTGCACTACTAATAGAAAAACATGTCTACCAACAAAGTTTCTACATAACGTGGCAATATGTTTAAAGTTAATGAAAAACTTTCCTATCTTATAACTCTTATTGAGGCAATAGTAAAACTCAACAAATTTTTATTGCAAATGAAATCGCATAAGCAGGTTCATACGGCCTACAAGTACAGTCACTAATAATCTCTATATAACGAAAGTATTTCATAACTAGTAATGAAGTCAATGAATCAAACTGAATTTTTATTGCTGCAAAACAGAAGGTATGATTATTTATAGGTTCAGGGTGCGAAACAGAAATTATCCAATATAAAAAAACCTCGAATATTTCCCTAATGAAAATTTTCTTTCCTAAAAGTAAAGCAGGTTGAAAACCACTAACTTGCATGTTAGCAAGTTTAGTTTGGTCTAAAATGATATCCATCTGCATGTTAAGTAGAGGAACACGCCAACTGCTAGATTTGGCCACAAATATCTGCTTCCTTATTTGTTGGGCAATGTGAAAGCAACCATCTTCACCTGCTTAACCTTCTTAGAACATTTGGTGTCATATGAGAAACTCCAATGGCAGTTGTGTCAGCATAATGATGCAAATCATCAATCAGACTTCAGTGTACTTTCAAGTGAGACAGGCATTGTTGTTAGTGGTGGCCGCAACAACAGGTATAAAGCAGGACCCAAGAAAGGGATTATCGATAAAGGAAGAAGCCAAGCTGTCTTGTCATAGCTGTAAAATGGAAACAACAGAACATTGAGCACATAAATCTAACCATGAGGAATTCAACCATAGGTTCTAGTAATTTTCTGATGTTACACTAACGAGAGTTAGGATCTCATTATAGAAAGAAAAAAAGTCTTAGGATCTTACCATTTTCGTGCTGTCATATCATTGTAAACCCAGAAAGGTGCAAATGCTGATAGAAGAGTGAAATCAAGGGAGGTTGCATGGACCTGAGGCGAGTGGGAAAAAATTGCTAACTGAGCGCATTTTCTATGATATGATGAAATTGGAGTTAGGATAAAAGAAATCTTGATTAGAGAGACTCTAAGACAATCATAATCAGAACTATAGATTCAAATAATTTAAATTATGGTAACTTACTGAAAAGATAAGGCCTTTTGCAGCCTAATATGCTTTTGTCCACAGGCGCTTGATAGAGATGTTTCTATGGAAAATTTACTTATGCTAAAACTTTCGAGAAAATTGTTATACTACGTAGTATTAGATAACCTCTGTTTGGGTGAACCACCCCCCCCCCTCTCTTCTTCCGGGGAGAAATATCTTCTTAAAGTAGATGGTCGCTGTTCATTTGGAAATACCTTCTTTTATAATCCAAATCATGAATTTGTTGATGAAGGATGTTTATTAAAAGATTATATCATGAATTTTGATGAACAATGGGTATAGATTATAGAAAACACTTTTATTAAAAGATCCAAGGGATTACAAAACCATTAACTATCAAACCAAGATTTTAGATCTATTGAGTCAATTAGCTAACAAAGGAAAAGATTATTTTATAAGAGATACGATGCATCTCAAATAAACAAGACATAGGTAAGCAAGAATAAATTTAAGGCACAATCAAGATCGTAGCTTACCAACTTGCTTTCTCTGAAATACTGATAGAACTCCTTCCACTCATCTATTGCCAAGCCTGCATATACTATAAGGCCTAGTCCTACAGCACCCAAGAACTGACAACCAGGAAGGTTAATTATTTTTGCAAAAGCATACATACAAATCAATACAAAAGCGAAGACATTTAACAGCTATGCAAACATAAGATTTTCCTTGACAAGTTCTTAGGATGGGGATGAAACTTGAATGTTTGTACTATCCCAAGCAAAGTGTATGACAGTATAGTGAAGGGCTCTGCAAATAATTATGGCAATTTTCGACTAAGAAAATCAGATATATTCTTGAACCACTGTTCATAGATTTTGATTCATATTTATAAAACAATATTTGAATTTCCCCTTAAGCTTTACTCATAACAGGCTGCAACTATTCTCTGACCACCTTACTAGTTCAATTCAACAAACCATGTCATCTCCAAGTCTCCAACCCAGCAAAAAGCAACAAGATGTGAGTCAATATGAAGTATCATTTTCTTTACCAATGTAAATCAAATCAATTCTTACCCCAGCTGTCAGCTTTGATTCCAAGAAGTTCAGCGGCCAGCTACTTAGTTCGCCTTCTTTAACTGGAGGTGGTGGAGGTCTCCATAGAATGAAATATGGAATGAGAGCATAAACTCCTCCAAAAAATGAAAGTGTGGCGAATGGCCACACAGGAATGTTGCTTTTCGAGCTGCAGAATAAGAAACACTACATTTCAGGTGTAAAAGAGTTTTCTTATTCAATGGAGCTTAAGATGCTATAGAGAACATGCCAATTTTGTAGTACATAAATTCACCTTCTACCAGAGGGAATCAGTAGCATGCTGTAAACAATTGGCCATAAACCCATAATGTACCAAAGCGACACAAGTATCCTATTCATCTCGAATCCATCATCTCCGATCAAGTTAGAGAGCTTCTTCAAGAAGTACATGTCCCTAGACTGCAATCAAATAGAAGTCATCAATAATCTTGTGCAATTCTATGTTACAGACTATAGTCCTATTTTCACCTTAAGTACCCGTGTCAAATACTCACCCTACAACATGAATACAGACACTTGCACAAATTAGTCTAATTTTTCCCCATTCAGTCTAATTTGGAAAATAAAATATTCAAACGACTACCTTATGTCACTTTTATGGTCTAACACTGTAGATACAACCATCTCACACGAAAATTACTCGAATAGTCGTATTGAAATTTTCCATATACTTCAAAATCAATGTCAAATGCAATCCAAAAACATAATAGTACATAAGTCCTATAATTACTTAAGTTCAGAATTTAACCAATTAACTAATTAACCAGACACTACATGTAATTAACAAAGATAAAATCATACTGGTGTGTGGTTGGGAAAGTGACTAAAAACAAAGATAACATACGTTCAATGTTATGTTATTTTGATCACATGAATGGTAAGTAACTCGAACTTTTATAAAATGAATAAAGGATAATCAACAAAGATGAAAATCATATTGGGTTTGGTTGCGAAAGTGACTAAAGTTATTTTATTTTGATCACTATTAGTAACTCGAACATTCACAAAATGAATAAAGGATAATCAACAAAGATAAAATTCATACCGGGGTTTGGTTAGGAGAAAGATTGAAAACATAGTACATGAGTCCAGCGTAGAACAAGAAGAGCAAAATTGAGGTAGTCCAATCTCCACCATTACCACCATCTTCATCACCTCCAACATCACTTTCACTGGAATCATTATCTTCCACAATTGGGTCTTTGAATTTTGAACTTAAACAAATTTGGGTATTTTTTAACTTTTGATATTGATTAATGGGTATCCTCTTGCAGTAGTTTAACTTGACCAAAATTGGAGGTTTTGTTAATAATAAGGTGTTTGGGTTAAAAGGTTTGGGATGAAGAGAAACAGGGCCAAAGCGTAGGAAATTGGAGGAGATGAGGTTTGAATTTACTATCATTTTTGCTGCATTTGGCTTGATTTCCTCCACATTTTGCGCTCAATTTTATCCCTTCCCTCTCGGCGACCGGCTTAAAGATAACTAGTTTTTAGGTGGCCCGGATTTTTATTTTTTATTTTATTATTTTTTTTTCTGAATTTAAATTATTTTACTAAACTGAAATTAATATTATTGAACTGAAATTATTTTTACTGATTTTTTTTTTATATTTCTTCTTCTAGCAAGTGTTGTATAAACCCGATTTACAATAAATTATTAATAAATTATTGTAGACCCAATATTTGATATTCTCATATAAAATAATCACATTATGGATGATATAATCACTTTTTTTAGATAATATAATATTCTTGTTATGAGTCATATTTTGAATGATATAGTCGTATTTTAAACAAGTTAGTCAGATGATATAATTATCATTTGAATGATACAATTATTATTTGATACTTTTTTTAATGATAAATTCACTTTTTGAATGATACATTTATATAATCAGTGTTTGGATCATATAATTACTTTTGAAATGATATAATCACATTCGTATCATAATAATAAAATTATGGCCGTTGGAAAAATTACAACTGTTATAATTTTTGAATGCATCTTGGTCATTGATCAATGCATTGTGTGAAAGCTTTCATTTGCCATATCACAAGACAATAAATGAAGAATAGAATCCAATGCAAGTTGACACTATATTTGATTCAATAACCAACACTTGAGAATCGATTATCATCTCAACCAGGTTATTGGTTTTTTTCTCCTCTAATTTCCCTCTTTACATTTTTATTATTTTTTTTACAATCTCTCTCCTAATAACCATCCAAAATGATTAATGACTAGAATGCTCTTAGGTACTCTGTTATTATTGCGTTTCACCTTAGATTGACCAACTTAAACCCAAACCCGACCCAATCGATTAATAGTCAAGCCTGAAAACCTAGGGCTGGCAATCCCTGATCCGACACGATAACCCGATCTTTACTGAGAGAAACCCGAACCCAACCCGAACCAAAACCGAACAATCTGAATTTGACCCGAATTTCATATTTTGTAATAATATTAAGTTTTACAATATTTTTGATAATTTTTAAACACAACCCAAAATTAATCCGAAATCTAATCCGAATCCGACCTGCTGACCCGAATTGCCACCCCTGTGTAAACCATTGGGAAATATTTTGAAAAACAGTGATACTTCGTACTAAGTGCAATTTACAACCAAAGGTTGCCAAAGAAGTCAGCAGATAAGGCTTTCTTCTTCACTCTACTTTCTATCTCTCATCAGCCATGGCAGAAGCTTTAACAGTAGTATTCCAAACCACACTACTCCCATCTTTTTCCTCTCAATTCCACCACCATCTCTATCACAATCGCCTTTCATCTCCTAAACCCATTTGTACACCCAAAACCCACCACGCTCTAACCCCAATTCAGTGCTCAATTTCCACTACTGCAACCCCAAGTACTGCTTCTGCAGTGGACAGAATTCCATGGGGTTGCGAAGCCGATTCTGTAAAAAATGCCGAGGCGTTGCAGGATTGGCTTACTAAGTCTGGTTTACCCTCTCAAAAGATGAGGATTGAGAGGGTGGATGTTGGTGAGAGAGGTCTTGTTGCAAATAATAATATTCGAAAGGGAGAGAAGCTTCTCTTTGTTCCTCCTTCTCTTGTTATTACTGCTGATTCGGTATAAGTCTTATTCATGGTTTTTTTTATTTTATTTTTTTTTATATATGTTGGTATTTATGTCAAGTTCAATTGATCAGAACTTTGGAGGATTGTTTCCTATTTGTTGGTAATTAATCAATTATCTAAGATTGTTAGTCATAGGATTGAATCGTCGAGTTTGCTCGTGTTAAGGTCTGTTAAGATTGCTACATTTAACCAATTGTAAGCTAAAAGTATGTCATATGAACTTATATAGTATATCAGGCTAAGAAGGGATGGGATAAGCCATGATTCCCTTGGTCTTTCATACTTTTGCCAAGGTCGTGCCATCGCGAAAGAGTTATTAAAGAATTGATTGAAATGCCATAATTATCTTGGATGATTGAACCATTGTTGAAACTTAAAATAGTATGAATGCATAGTAAATTAGTGATGTTATGTTGTATAACAATGAACACTGGTGGGGAAATTCATAAGTTGACTTGCTATACATTAAGATTGGCCTATTATTTTAGGATATACCAAAGTAGAATGCGGCTTGTTAAAGTAGGATTGATTATATAGTTTTTGACGAATAATATATTGTTGTATAAATAAACTCTTTTTGGAATCTCTATCTTGTTCCTGAGTAGGCCTAGAGAAGTAGAGCTAGGTGTACCTAAGGATTATTTTTGCTCATTTTATTAATTTTGCTTACTTGGAGAGTGTTAAATAAGCAAAATTGATAAAATGAACTAAAATCACTCATGGATACACTTAACTTAGGTGTACTTGGGAATAACTAAGAATTTGTCAATTCTTTTGGAATGGAAAATCCGTAGAGATACTGTTATACTAGCACATTGTAGAATTATATCCAGCTTTCCTAATTCGACCATTATACAAATCTCTAGTTTCTTATAATAATAAATTAATAATCCTATGATTTCCATCTTTAAATTTAGTGTTCATCTGACTTCGTAACTTAAATTTAGTGTTCATCTGACTTCGTAACTTGCTTTCCAAGTTTGATCAGCCGAAGGCTTGACCATAGCAGTTAATATATTAGGACCTGGGGTTTAGTCGTCATAGTTCTTTACTTCTTCAGATTACCTACCTTACTGTAATTGAATCTAGCATATTAAGAGAGATATTGAAGGGATAATTGCTAACGGAGTAACGTTTTCACCCAAAAGGGAAGAAAAATATATGAATTTTCATCCCCTAGCAGTTTAAGTAGCATTACATACGCTTCCTGTAATCTTGTAAGAGACAAGAAAATGACTGTTGACCAGATATCAATTTCATATGAAAGTGTCTTCTGCTAATAATGTCTGGCTTGCACCAGATATCAATTACATATGAAGCATCTTCAGCTAATAATGTCTGGCCAATCAATATTCATTGTCTTGTTTCTTACAAGACATTATTTGTTGTAACAAGGGTAAGATTGAAGTTATTTACCAAAAAAAGAGGGTGGGGGGGGGGGGGGTTAGATTGAAGTTGGCCAACAGGCCCAACAGTCTTAAGCTGCTTTACTTTCAAGTTTCAACCTTTTTAAGTTGTCATCTTGTGTAATTTTACTAGTCTAAGTATGGATTATCAGCTTTTTTTTTTTTTTTTTTTTTTTTTTTTTTTTTTTTTTTTTTTTTTAAATCTTAAACCTTAATTACCATGAAGCAATTTCTTGTTTATATTATCAGGAGTGGAGCTGTCCTGAGGCTGGTAAAGTTCTGAAAAAGAATTCTGTTCCTGATTGGCCACTGCTTGCGACATACCTAATAAGTGAAGCAAGTCTAATGAGTTCATCAAGATGGAGCAATTATATCTCAGCCTTACCTCGACAGCCCTATTCCCTTTTGTACTGGTAAGTTAATATGCAGTTATATGTTGGATGCTTTTAGTTCCTTTTTTCAATATCTTGGCAGAAAGGGTGTACTCTCAATGTCTTCCCCTACAGCTTCTCTGTGTCATTTCAGGACACGTTCAGAGCTGGATAGATATTTGGAAGCGTCCCAGATTAGAGAAAGGGCTATTGAAAGGAGTAATGATGTTATTGGAACGTAAAGCTTTGTTCTTGTCAAATGGACAATTTGATTCATCTGGCTGAGGCAGATTCTTTTTCTTCACGGGAAACAAGCATTCATCAAATCATTAATATCAATGTCTCTATGTGCAGATACAATGATTTAAAGCTTAGGATATTCTCTAAACACCCTGATTTATTCCCTGAAGAAGTATGTATATCGTTTTTTATGAAAATTATAATATTGTAGTTTGCATTTGTGTTGTTATTTCTACTCATTTAACTTTTTTGCAAGACTTCTTATTTTTCTTCCTACCTGCTATTCACATTGGCCTTGCCAATAATTGATGTGAAGGTTTTGTTACTGCAACACTGATTAAGATTTTTTTTATCCTGGCACTTCCCTGTTATATACTTAACAAATTTTCTTAGTCTTTTAGTGTGCGAATATATTTTCTGGATTGACAAGAACTCTCAATGCCCATAGATCTCCACTCAACAGTTTTATTTTTTATTTTATTTTATTTTTTAATTTCAGATTCTTCTGTCACCTTTTTGAAACAGACACTTTCTGTTGAATGTGATGATTGTTTGCATTTTGTAGCATAGCACATCCTCTTGATCATATTAAACTGCATTAGCTATTATTATGTTGAACTTTCTGTCTTTGACTCATAAAATATGGAGCTGTGTGAAATCTTACTCAAATATAATACAAGTATCACTTTTCTAATGATTTTCCATTTGCATTTAAAATGCAGGTTTACAATATGGAGACGTTTAGGTGGTCATTTGGCATCCTTTTCTCACGATTGGTATGTTGATTACTTATAGTAATCTCAGGATTGACTATGGCGTGTATATTTTTTTTTTTCTGTCTCTGCCTTTGGGAGATTATATAAATTTGACTTTACAAATCCAACTTCATATGGAAGTTGTATGCTCACACACATTTTAAAGGATTTGGCATTGTTTGGTTTCTAGAGTTGTAAATTCATTGTAGAAAAAAGGATTTAGCAATGTGTTATATACTTATGTGCAACTCCCAAAAAACATGCTACAATTCATTCTTGACATTCCTAAATAGCAGTACATATTTAAAAAAAAGTCTTTGGGATGTTTCAAACCATTTGTCCTATGTGCTTATGAACTATGCCCAAAAAATATACTACATTCTTAACATTCATTAGTATGTATTTTTTGTAACGTCTTTGGGATGTTACAAATTGTATGTCCTATATGCTTATGAGCAACTCCCAAAAGCTATGCTACAATTCATTCTTAATATTCTTTAATATGTGCTGTATTTTTTTGTTGAATTGGGTAGTTGAGGTGATAAAACTAGTAAAGTGTATAGATGTCAATTTTCTAAAAGTTGTCCTAAAAGATTTTCAGCATGATTTTTTTATGTAAGGCATCTTAGATGTATTTTTTTTTATTAAAAAAAAAAAAACAAAAAAAAATCCTTTTCTTGTTTAATCATGCTGGATATGCTAATGGAAATACTCCTTTTGAGTGAAATGATTTGGCATTATTAGGGCTGACAATTTGTGCTACTGAAGAAAGTGATATATTTTTTCCTAGTGAATTATAGATGATGAAAAAGATTGCTACATGCTTAACAAATAGAACATCTGAGAAAAAGAAGATTTTCTATAGTTGCAGCAGAATGATAACCAACTCTATCATCCAGTTGAGGAGACATCATATGGACAGAGCCCAAATAAAGTTAATAAAAAAAGGAGACCAAACAACAAATAGGATAAATTGAGTAACACTTTGTTTGGATTGAAAGAAATGGAGGGAAAGGAAGGGAAGGGAAAATGAGGAAATCAGTATCTTTCATTTGGATAACAAATGTGGAAGGAAAGGAATTGGAGGGAAAAGAAATGGAGAGATTATTATAAGAAAATGATCTCTCCAACAATGGAGAGATTTGGAAGGAAAATTAATCTTTCTTCCATCCCCTCCCTTTCCCTTCCCCCCCTTCACCTCCCTCCCCTTCTTTTCTTTCCTCTTTCTTTATCCAAACACACCGTAAGGGATAGGAAGGTCAAAAAATACTGCCATTTGACATAAACCTCTCCTATGACACTGTAGTGGTACTTCATCACGTGGCTGTGAAAATAGTCTCATCAACACTTCTTAATAAAGTTGGTCCAGAGCTCCAATTAAGTGTACCCAGACTCTAGCCTCAATATAGGATTTTGTAGTTCTTTTACAACATTAAGTTCCTCAAACATTAGCTCTAAGTTTTCCTGAAGCTTCTTAAATCAGTGAATGATACAATATAATGGAGATGCACACGTGGCCTCTTCATATAGAAGATTTGAAATCTATTCCAATTCATTTTTGGTTTTTTTTTTTAATCTTCATGAAGCTCAAGAGACTGTAAGGGATATTATTATTTGTATTGAATTTGAAATGTTTATCTTCTCATGCTCTTTCAGTCATGTTCTTCTTATTGATGCGGCCTCTATTAGTATGGAGAACTTGTTTACTATATGAATGTATCAGCCCCTGAGCATATTGATGTTCATCCAACTGCCAATAAAATCTTTGCAATTTCTTAGCAAGTGCTTTTGGTTATTTTATTAGAAACTTGGAGCATGTTTGATTGAAGTGTAAATTTACAGCTGATGGCATATTACCTGTGGTAGTAGAGATATATTTTGAGTTACTGAAATTTGCATATTTTTCTAAAAACTAACATCTAGCATTACTTTTTCCTGAAAATGTAGGTAAGATTACCTTCAATGGATGGTAAGGTAGCATTGGTACCATGGGCGGATATGCTGAACCACAGTTGTGAGGTATATGGTCTAGTGCTAGAGCCAAAAAATGTGTCCTGGATTGATATTTCACATTTAGCTGGCATCAAAAGTTTGGGGAAAGGGCTTGGCCTAGTTTGGTCAGATTAAGTATATTAATCAAATATCTTGATTTTTCGTAGGTGGAAACATATTTGGATTACGATAAGTCCTCAGAGGGCATTGTCTTCACAACTGACCGCCAATACCAGCCAGGTGAGCAGGTAAATCGAAACTATATAATAATTTTAATACAAGACTAGATCAAAAAGCTGCTCAATAATTTTGGAAGTCACCAGCATCTAAACCTGATAACTTACTTTGCCATGCTCCTAACTCCTAAGTGCAAAAGATAAGATGCCGACCTCTTATATTGTCTGCATCATAGATTTCCTCTGTTTTGGCTGTTGTCTCCCCTATAAAAAAATCAAGGAAAATTAAATTGATATCAAGAGGCAATCATCCTTGTTTCTCAAGAGTGCTACAAATAGAAAGATGCTCCTTTTACACATATACTGGTAGGCTGCAGGGTTTCTTAAGCTCTGACTCTTTCTTTTGTTGTTTATATAGGTGTTTATATCATATGGAAAAAAGTCTAATGGGGAGTTGTTGCTGTCATATGGTTTTGTTCCCAAGGAAGGAACCAATCCTTCTGATTCTGCTGAATTGTCATTGTCACTAAAAAAATCCGACAAATGTTACAAGGAGAAGCTTGATGCTCTAAAGAAATATGGTTTGTCAGGGTAAGTTTATGGTGTATGGGGTACTTAACTGAGTATGAAAACAAATATCTATTTATATCCAGAAGGTCTTATAGAGTAGTGGATGATTCTTTTACATATATAATGATGTTCAAGTTCCTCCCGCCCTCCCCTTGCTTTGGATTGTCAGCTGTGTCTAAAGCAGCTGATTACACTGCGGAATTGTCATCTGCTTCTGAACTGGGTAGTATGACTGAAAGCTTTTGCTGACAATTGACTGCAAATTTGTTCTCTAGATCTCATTGCTTTCCTTTGCAAGTGACTGGTTGGCCGGTTGAAATGATGGCTTATGCGTACCTGGTAGTCAGCCCACCAAGCATGCTACAACAATTTGACGAGGTACTATATCTGCTGATTAACTTTCTAAGAGCAGCTATGATGTCCTGGGTTGTTAGTGAACTCACGGAGTTATATTTCAGATGGCTGCTGTAGCATCAAATAAAACAGGGGCCAAGAAGAATATTAGATACCCTGAAATAGATGAGCAAGCTTTCCAATTCATTTTAGACACTTGTGAAGCAAGCATTGCAAAATACACTAAATTCTTGCAGGTAACTCTAGTTGTCTAGAATTATTCATTTATGAACACTAGCAGATCTTGCACAAAAAGCGTGCACAGACGCACACAAAAAAGTACTATGGTTTACAAAATTAGCACCACTCATTTGATTTGCCAATATCCATATTCCATGTTATTCCTCCTTTGACAGGCAAGTGGATCTATGGATTTGGATGTGACCTCACCGAAGCAGCTGAATCGAAGACTGTTCTTAAAGCAACTAGCCGTGGACTTGTGTAACAGTGAAAGAAGGATATTGTACCGCACCCAATATGTATGAAATCTCCTCATCTTAGTTTTGCTCACTGAGTATAATGTGAATTTTTCTGCACAGTTTTGATCTTGCTCTTTGTTTCTCATGAAAGTTTGTGCCCTTTTTCAAGCTACCTTCCCATTCATCACATGAATTTGTCTGACTATTTCAATCGTCATGTTGGTGTAGATACTAAGGAGGAGATTGAGAGACATAAGATCTGGTGAACTGAAAGCTCTCAGATTATTTGATGGTTTCCGGAATTGGTTTAAATGAAAGTCTTTGGAAATTTAAGCAGATTGGCATATTGATGCAATTACCTGATAACAAGCTGGGATTATATTTCGATGGTAAGTTTTTTGGCACAAATGTCTCGATGGTAGTAAACATACCATTTTGGTAGGATTGGTTTTATGTAATGTGAATTATTGTACACCCTGACGATGAAGTGAAGATAATAGAAACTTTTAAAGTTGCTTATATTGGCTATATATCGTCTCTTTCTTCTCCTGTGATGTAAATTTATTGGTTTAATGTAATGTGAATTATTGTACACCCTGACAATCAAGTGAGGATAATAGAAACTTTTAAAGTTGCTTACTTGCTTATATTGGCTATATATCGTCTCTTTCTTCTCCTGATACTACTATCTCACTTTTGAGCAGTAAAAAAACTTGGATGCCTGTTTTGCAAGAAATGATAGCCCGATACATAGGTCTTGGCACAATGCCAATCTCAAATATCGAGCTATCATTTCTCACGTATTGCTGCATGAGGAAGGTGTGCTGAGACTGCCGAATTGAAATCCTAAGATTTTGTGTCTCTATGTCAATATCTTGTGAGAATACATTGAATTGAAAGCATGTGCCAATTGCCATTACAATTTACAAGGGCAGATCTTTTGTGTAGAGCCAGAGCACAGGGGTCATTTGACCCCAAATACTATTTAGAAACCCACTATTATGATGTGGTAAAAATCTCTTTCCAACGACATAGAAAAATGATTAAGAGATTAGGAGAGGAAAGACAACTAATAATGACAAGATTTCTATTTCTTGGGGATATATGACGCTTACGACTAATGCTGCTTTGCTTTTGGTTTGTCATCTAAATAAAGAATAGTGATCTCGCCAATACTTTGAATGATTACCCCATACTAGAGGTGTAAGCGTATTTGCTAAACGAAGGATGTATATTGTGGCAAAGTTAGAGGATTTGACCAAATTTAGTCGATTGGTGTTCAGTTGATGAAAAAATTGAATTGAACTTTTTTTTTTTTTTAGACAACGGTCAAAATAAGAGACCCGCCTATTTCCAAAAGCTTGCCAAGAGCAGCATTTTCAAGAAATTATTTAATAGAAGTAGGGATCCACTAAATGACAAGTTTGTCCTCATTCACCACAAAATGCAACCACTACCTAGCAACAAGCATTCATTTCAGTTTCCATTTTTCAGTTTCACTCTCTGAGGCCTCGTGCTTCCATGGTAATCTCAACAATAGAGATAGGTGAATCAAATGTTTTTTTTTTTTTTTTGGTGCATTTTAAGATTTTAAAATGAGCAAAAAAATATTGAATAAGCAAAAAATACCCTTAGGTGCACTTTGTCCTTGGGTGTATATAAATTTTTTAAAGATCTAAACTTAAATTAATAAATATTTTCAAGTTGAAGATAGTAAGACTGTTATCCATTTGGATCTTATGGAATTTTCTTTTAAAATTAAAAATTTTATTTGGACCTTAAATGTATGTGTAAATTTAAGGAAAATGCCATAAGAAGTAAAAATTGGAAAAACAAATGAAAATATAATATTAATTACACTGATTTGTGCCTAATTTTGTCACACAATCCTAAATTAATACCAAATTAGGGCTACGTATAACATTACCTTTGAATTTATTAGATACTTTTTTTCGTTTTTTTAGTTGCATCACTTTTGTTTTTACGGACTTCTAGACAATTTTTGGAGAAGAAAAAGGTAGAGAGGAAAAAATAAATGAGGCCCATGTGGTAGAAGAGAGATAGAGAGAATTTATTAGTTAAAAAGAAAAATTATTCAACTAAATTGACATTAGTACCCTTCAAATTATTTAAAAACAAAATTAAAAAAAAACAAAAAAAATCCAAACCCCTCCCCACCCACTAACCAACCGCAAGCCCCTCCTCCCCTTGCCTGCTGATGGCGTCTCAATTCCCTCCCCTTGGAGACAACCACCTCATTCTCCCGCTGTCGTCGTCGCGTCGTCCTCCTTTACTCCGGTTGATCAACTTTCAATGTTAGCATATACCAGAGCTTCATTTCTATCGCCATTCTTAGGGTTAGGGTTTCAATTTTCGAAATTCAACTCAATCATTTCTCCCAAATTCAAATGTCTTTCCAATTTTCCATCAAATCTTCCAGAATTGAATCCAAAGGTAATTAAAGGGGGGTCGTTTTTGGAGTTGGAACACTGTTAGCTGGGGTTGGGGAAGCTAAGCTCTGGTAGGGAGCTGAGGGGGATGGCGGTGGCTGGCTAGTGGGGAAGGGGATGGTTTTTTTTTTTTTTTTCATTATTGGTTAGACAAAATTGGTTGGGGGTAATTAAATGAGGGTAGTTGTGTCTTTTTGCAGTTTAGTAGCTAAAACCATGGTTAAGGAATTAACAAATTGTTTAACTTAAGTTACCATTTGCTTAGTAATATTAATTCGAAAAAACTATTGATAATCAAAAGTTTCACACTTTACCACTGAGAAAAAAATAAAAGTTTGTGATTAACAGAGAGAATTTTCCTTTTTCTTTTTAACTTTTTCTTTTGCTTAGTTTTAGATCTATGTTTATCATTTTCCTAAATTTAAATAAGTTAAATTTAAAAATCAAATACGTAGTAAATAAAACACAATTTAATCCCGTAAAAAACAAAAAACAAAAAAGGAACACTACATTGTGGACACGTACGAAATCCAGTCAAAAAACCCATTCATCTTCCATTCTACCGCAGTCAACAGTAGCACTCCTACAGTCCCATTTCCACAGTCTCACAGTCTCACTTACTCTCTTCTCAACTGTACAACAACCAAAATGGGTATAAAAAAACGCAAAACACCCAAACAACCCACCACCACTGCCGCCGGCGAAACACCGCCAATAGGCCCCGGTGTCGAATTCCGCAACCCCGAAGACGATGCCTGGTACAACATTCGACTCCTTCTTCAAAACCAAACTTTACTCGTCAAATTCATCGAATTTCCAGACGACCACGACTTGGAATTCCACACCACTGAAATCTCCTCTTCCGCCGAAATTTCCGAATTCCGGCGACGATTCCGACCGTTGACTTTGCAGTTAGAACCGTCGGATTGTGTAACGCTCAAAGTAGGTATGAGGGTTTGTGCTTTGATGAATTCCGTTATTTGCCGTGATGATCGCCGTTTTTATGACGCCATTGTTGAAGCGGTCTTTTCTCTCTCTCTTCTTTTCTCTCTCTTAAATTTGTCTAAAGTTTTTTAGTCTTTTTGATGTTATGCTTTGTTTTGGTAGTATGACATTTATCTTATTTGATTATTTGATTATAATAGTGTTGTTGATAAAGTAATCATAAGAGAAATATAATAATAGTGGATTAATTTAATAATGAGGTTATTGAGATTAAGGCCTTTAAGGGTTTGGTTTGTCCTGAAAATTGTGGATTGTTTGTGATTTAGACTAATTTTGCCTTGGAATGAGTAACAAGGTTATACGACTACGCGTGTAGGGAGGTTTTGTTGACGGGGTTTGTGTTCGGGTTAGGTCGTGTTTGATTTCGATGGCTTCCATATATGTTGAGACCGTTAGAAATTGGAACAATGTATGGTTATTAAAGATCATATTGCACCATTTTGGTGTTAAAGGCAGTTTTGACAAGGAGATTATTATACTAATGACTCGTTTGGTTAGTTTAAATCATGAGCATGATAATATATTTGTATATAATTTTATGAGGAAAGCTCTTGTTCATGGAATCATGGAGATAGAAAGAACACCCCTAGAAGTCTTCATAAATTTCCATTTACTATCAATAACACATTTATGGTGGTAATGAATGATAATGAAAATTTAGGAAGAAAATTAATAATGAACTACTAGCATTTATGTAGATATTGGCAAATTTCCTGTCTTTTAGTTGAGGTCTTCCTCCCTTTTTCACCCAAAAAAAAAGTAGATATTGGCAATTTTGCATGATATTTTCTTCACAAAGTAACTTTCAAAATCACGAGTATAACTTACATTTGTTAGCACTTACCAAATGAGCCATAAAATGCACTCCGTATGACCGTAATATATATGTTTTTTCACAATTATCAAAAAGGAGTATCGGTATGGTCGTATGGCCATTGTACAGATCAACTCTACTGTTTCTATTTTACTCCGTACTTGGTTGCTACAGATTTAAACAAAATGAGATTGATTGCTAGATTCAAGGAAATATATCTAACTTTGGTAGTTTGATTTCTCTAGATGTTACCATAGATTTGTTTTAAACTGCATTGAATATGTGTAACTGAGTAATTAACATTTCTTTATCAGTCTCAAATAGGATTTCATAAGATTTATAGTTTAATTGTAATTGGGGTCAAAACTTAAATGCGACTTTTTTGATGGACAGGGTATTTCATTCACTTTTGTATCTAGATATGTGCTAGGATTTTATTTGATATAGTAGCCTTTTGTTATCTTGTTAGCTATTCATTCGAGAACTCGCATCATTTTGTTTGGGATTATGCTAAAACAGTAAGTAACGCATCATATGGACATGTGGGATGTGGCTGATGTCTTTCTTCATTGTAATATAATTGCTATCAGTTTAAACTTCCTAACTTGTTAGGTTCAATTAATTTAAAAGCTGTCCCAAGAGAAGGAAAGTGAATTTAAAGAGGAAATTATCATCAAGAATCTAGGACAATATTAAGATTATTAACCAATGAAAGATATACCAGGCTTTTTGTAGGATTTTCTGTTTCTAGTTCATTTTCTTACGCTAACATCTCAGTTCTCATAAGTTTGTTACTTTGTATCTATTAAAGTTGCTGGCTAGCAACACACTGGCCTGATAACAGTAAATTTTTGAACATCTCAAACTGGAGAATTAGATGCCTTCGTTAGGCAGAGAGGGTAATTTAAGTAGGTAGCCTTTCTTCATATGAGTTGAAGTGGTGCTGTTCTTTTGCTCTACTCTCAGATTTTAATGCTTCTATTCAACTTGTGCTTGGTCTTATCAAGATAAAATGTATCTTAAATCTGCTTGGTGTTTATTTTTCTACCTGTATTCTGGAATAGGTGAAGCGTGAGGAGCATACTATTGTGGATGAAACAGAGAATTGCTCATGCACTGTTATTCTTTCATGGCTGCATGGTCCAAAAGCTGGGACACTGACAACAGCAAGAGTTGAAGATCTTTGCCCAATCCAGCCTCCTTGGCTTGATCCACGGGTTGCTTGCTTTTTGGAGCTAGCCAAGTGGAAGCAAGGAATAGCTTCACCTTGTTCTAAGTTGATCAGTGAGGGTATAACACGTAAGGAAGAAAGTCCTACCTCTTTAAATTGCCAACGTCGGAATGTTATTCAGGCAAGTTGTTCATTTGCTGCTGGAATTATTCACTGTGCTAGTACTTGAATGAACCAGAGCTATTCTGATGGTATGAGTTTGATGGATTTTCCCTTAATATTCTGTAGGAATTGGAAGACGAAAGACATACGGGAAGTATAGTGCCATATGATGAAGGTTAGGAACTCATGCTTTGATTAGTGGTGTCGATTTCTTTTGCAAAGTCGAGTTTTGCCTTTCTGATTGTGCTGCCTGCGCATAACAGGAAATATTGGCCATGAAAAGAATGAAGATGTAGATCTCGGAGGGGGAGGAGATAATGTTCATGCTAAGGAAAGGCTAGATGATGATAGTTATTTCTACTCTTTGGATAAATTGGTGGCAGATGTGTGTAGTATCGGTTTGGGAGGGAGGGATAATGGAGAGACTGAAGTTGCAGATACAGAAGCACGCTATTTTGTTGTGGTTGAGAACTTGGAGAAGGATATATCTCGTTCAACCATTGTGGAATTTGTATTAGAAGAGACTGGTCTTGAAATTGAAGCTTTTGTTTTCTTGAGTCTGTCTACAGAGCCATATACCAGAGGAGCCCTTGTGGTTGATCGTGCTGAGGATCTCGAGAGATTGTGTAATTTTATGGTTAAACCAGACCAGATGATCACATCATCAAAGGGAAGGTACATAGAATTATCTCATTTGATTTCTAGAATGCCCATGATTTCAATGGAATAATCTTCAGAATTTATTTCTTCACTTTACTACAATTTGATCTTTGCTCTTTGTTTTGGTTTTTGCCTTTAATAAGCACTTTTGTAGTTTTGTTTGCTAAGAGTGTGGCTGTAATTTATTTATTTTTTTACTTTTTTTTTTTTTTTTTGGCTACAGTTCAGTGAATTCACTCTACTTTTCTAATTAATGACAATTTGTTGCTTCAGGCCATGGATTGTGTCGGATACTTCAACGACTGAATCGGTGAGGCCTTCTTTTTGGTGTTTGGAACCAGATCTCAAGGTCAGAATCTCTTTCGATCTCAAGATTTTGGTCTTGTTCCACCACTGTTGTGTCTTATATCATCACTGCTATGACTTGTATTTTTTTCATTGAGCATTTACTCATTTGCTGATTTACAGGATGAAAGGCAGCAGTCAGCTGGTGATAGATTGAGAGTTGTTCAGTCAGGAAGTGAGGAATACAGCAAGGCAGAGAAGCTAAGGGATTTATATCTGGCTTTCACTACCCATCAACAGCAATTGTCCAAAAGGCTGGCCTTGGAGGAGCAGCGCATCCTGGATGCCTAACACGAGTATTGTGTAGAATCTTACAAACTGAATGCAGTATCTATGATGGAAGCATAGATACCCTGTTCATATTAACTTAACCAAACTGTTCAGTAATGTTTGTATTCAATGTTATCACGGCCAGCAGTATTCCGGATAGCACTATAGAAGTAGAGATACACAGCCCAAGCCTTTAGTGAATTATGTGAGCTGCATAGTACATTAAATCGAGCACTGTTTTACCTGAAGTTGTAGATGTGCATATGGCGTTGTAATGACTGATTGATTATGCTAGTAGTTGTATATGTATATGCTTCGTTTATCAGTGTTATCTCTGATGCTTCTCTTGCTTCTTTAAAGATTTTTCTTCTGCAAATACAAGAACAAACACTTTTGTTTACAATATTGCTGAGGTACTAACTCTGGTTTTACTGTTTCATTTCGACACTACAGGCACAACAATTTAATTGTCTTTTGTTAGTCATTTTACTTTGGCCTTCCCCCCTCAATTTCCTTAATAATTTAGGATATTAACGGTTGTCTCATTTTAAAGTGAAATTGAGTGAACTAAAAATATGGAAAGTAGTAAGCATTATTAAGTGATGGGGTTATAAAAATTATTGTGTTGGGAAAATAATTCATATGTGAGTTGGAACTAGCTGTCCCATTTTAAGGAAATAGAGGAAGATTATTGAGTAACATATAATATTAGTGTGTTACTTTACCTATTACCAATTAGGTATAGGGTGAAATCCCACTGCATTTATATGTTATATGTGATCACACTCTATCTAAGAATGGTTAATCTTCTATGAAGATGAAAATTATTATGACAATTTATTGGCTCTTCTTGTGTCATGAGACAACGTTGGTTCTCCTTGTGCCTTAAGATAGGGATAAAAATGAATTTGAGTTTGGCTTTGCTCTAAAAATCTTAATCATGATTAAGTTAATGGATTTGAGTTAGATTTTACTTCGAAAAGCTAATACTTGATAAGAGGTGTTTTTCCATAAGAAAAAACAAAATAGGTTTGAAAAGAACATCATCAAGATGTATTGATATGTTAGCAATGTTAGAGGCATGAGATATAATTAGGGATATCAATGGGGCGGGAGGCGGGACAGATGTTGGCCTTCCCATCCCCATCCCTGCATAATATTCTCATCCCCATCCCACGGCGGATCCAAAATTCATCCCTATCCCCGCCCCGGTGAGTACAATTTCAAAACCATCCCCACCCCACCACCCACTTGGATATCCACACCTACCTAATCCCCACTCAATATCCACCTAATCCTCACTTCCCAAATACAACAATACTACATAATATAGATTATAATAAAAGAAAAAATCATTGTCAATATTACAATTTTTCTATTTACTACTTTATTTTACTTAATTTTTTTGTTTTATAAAATACTATAAAAAGTGTATAATTTTATTTTAAATAATATATGGATGTAGGTATGGGACGGTTACGAAGTGGGGCGGGTAGGGCGGGGATGGTGCAGGTACAACCTAAAACCACCCTCGCCCCATCACCCATGACAGGTATGGTTTTTATCCCTATCCCCACCTACCACCTGCCAAACCGTGACTCATCCCTAGATATATTCAATATATTAGGAGCATGATAGGTTTATGCTTAATTATTTTAAGATACAGTGTACGATTTAGTGAGTAAAGATATTTAATATTATCATAAGGGAAATTGTATGATGTTAGGAATGTTTAATTGAGAGTAACTAAGAATTCTTGATTATGAATATTTGATGATTTTTTCAATAATATAAAAAAGCTATAATATTACATTTTTACCTAAAACTTGTCATGGTACCAGAGCAAATGATCTTAATCTATTGTCAACACTTAATAAAATAGGGTTCAATGATTTGAAGAATGCAAGATGAAAGTGATTTGAAGATTTTTTTGGATTAAGTAGCCCAATAGAATTGCAATTGCCTAAGCACGGGCCATTTGACCTCATGTTGGAAATCAAAAGAATGCCCAACAATAAAAATTGTGACATTTCCACATCGCAAGATTAAAGGTAGTTCACATGTATAGGAGAACATTAAAAAAAATAACCGTAACTGAGTTGAAACTAGTTATCTCACATTGAAGAGAATGACTAGTATACAAAAATAGTAAGACTACTCCACGGCTCCACCTATCTCCAATTACTTTTAGGTTGGAATTTTGCCAAATTTATATGTGGCAAACTCTCCGTGGGCTTGTACTGGACTACTCATCCTAGTTAAATAAAAAAAATTACCTACAAATTTTTGATGGTTATTTGGTTACTTTAGTTAAATAAAGGAATTTCAATTCGATTCCAATTAGCATTTGAAGTTTGAAGTAAAACATACTGTCCTTTCTTTGTCCATAAAAACCAATGAGAATTTGCCACATCACAAAATTACGAATAACTCAAACCCTTCAAAAGTATCGGGGTGTTCCAAAAAACCCGACCCGGTTATCCCGTCCTAATTATCCGATGACCCGCAAAAACCCAATGGAAAATTGACAAATTTTTCTGATTTTTTCGGGTCGGGTACCCGTCCCGCTAAAATAGCAGTTTCGTGGGCCGGGACATTGGAGAAGCTTTGCTAATCTCGGGTACCCGAATACCCGTTTAAAAAAAAAAAAAAAAAAAAAACGTATGAAACTACCCGGATTTAAGGCCCAGCCCATTAGACAGTTAGACCTGGGTTCCAATAACTCACAAAAAAACAAAAAACACGCAGTCAGACCTCAGACTTCTTCTTCTCTCTCTTGCGCCTCATCTCGACATCTCAAAGCAGAGATCGGAGTGAACCACCGACAACACTTTCTCCAACCTGGTTTTCCAGCGTTTCGCACCAGCCTTTCCGCTTTGGACACCATCCTACGGACTGGTGATGACTTGAGCTCCTTTGCTTTTCTCTTGCTTTAATGTTCTTTTTTTTGGGGTTTTTGTGTTAGCTGGGTTCGTAAGTGTCTTCTTTGTGGTTTTCTTTTATTCTGCACTAGTTGGTCTCACCTTTGTTTTTAGTTTTCTTTCACCTCTTATTTGCTGTGTGGATGGTGCTACTATGGCCGGGTTTGCTCAATGCCCTGTCCTTGATGTTTCTCAACCAGATTCCACACCTATGTTAGATGTTAAGGTTCTTACGGTTTTGGATAATGAGTCCTCTCTAGAGTCCATCAATTTAGATTATGGTTGTCAAAAGTATAAGTTTGTTTTCCGTAAATGTCCTAGTATGAAAACCCAGGCCGACGGCAGCCTGATTGGGGTGGTGAGAGGCGATAAGCGGTGCTTGGGCTGACTCTGTTTTCGCCAAAGATATCGCCTCTGTCTTCGCCGCTTCAGAATTCTTTGCCTATTAGTAATCTTACACTTTTTATTTGTTTTACTTTTAAAATCCGGAAACTTAGAATTCGGGTACCCGAATTATCCGGGACGGGACACGGGCCGACTTATCAACTACCCGAACGTATCCGAAAATCCGGGTAACCGGATCTGAACACCCCTAAGTACCGCCCCTCACATGCCCTTTTCTTCTCTTCCTCTCATAATTTAGAAAACCAAAAAAAGATTAAAAATCAAAAAAAAAAAAAAAAAAAAAAGAGGGGTTGGGATGTTCTAACTTTCCAACCTCAAAAAGCCAGAAACTTTAACTTCAATCAAATTCATAATCTTGAAGATCAATAAAACAAAAACAAAAAAACCCAATTATTCCAACTTCAAGCAACTTTTTTGGTTTAATTTTAGAGGTAATTTGCTCAATTCTGCTTTACCAAAAAATCTTCAAAGTTTCTATCTTTTGACTTATTTTTGTATGTTTTTTTGTTCAATTATTGATTATATTCATGTTACAATGATGCAGAATAAGAAGAAAAAGATGGGTATGAAGAAAAATTTGATGGGTATTATAATAATAATGTTATGGAGTATAAGAATATTAAAAGGAGTAAATGGGTTAAGATTTGTGATTGATAGAGAAGAATGCTTTTCTCATAAGGTTGAATATGAAGGTGATACTCTTCATTTTTCCTTTGTTGTTATCAAAGCTGATACCCCTTGGCATCGTGACAATGAAGGTGGTGTTGATCTTGTGGTATTTTCTTCTTCTTTATCTCCTTACTTTTTTTTTTTTTTTTTTTATAGGTTTTGTTGAATTTGCCTTTTATTTATGGAATTTTATGTTCAAGACTTGATTTTGTTGATGTGTTTTGGTTTATTTTATGATTTTGGTATTGCATTTTGATTTACTTACCTTATTTTAGGGAAACACCAATTGAATTGTGTTTGGATTTGGAATTAGTTTTTATTAGGTATGTAAACTATCATTGCTGTCCAAGGCTGTTTTGATTAGGTTCTTGTGTTATTGTTTGAATGTTGTTTCATGTAGTGTTGCTTGGTTATTAAAATAGAGAGGATATTGTATAGATAGTGAAAAGGGAGATGGTGTAATTGTAAATCCATGTGCTATCCTCTTTTTTGATGTGAATTTTGTTTGAACTAAAGTTGCTACTTTAGCCATTAGCATCAATTAGAACCTAAGGAAGAGTGAACAATAATGGTTTCTTTTGATGAGAGGTGAGACCCAATATAAATTCTCATCTATGGTCAAACTGACAAACCCCACGCTTCATCTCTACATAGGAAATAGCAGTTAAGGTGGTGTGGTGGAGTGCGTAGGAGCAAATTGTTGTTGGTTTTACTGTGATGGACAAGTTAATGGTTGGCTGTGAGGATTGAGGAGCTTATAAACCATCCAATTTAGAGGTGGTCAACCCCTTATTGTGTTTTCCAGTAAGTAATGTTAGGAACATTAATAATGCTAGGATTTGATTTTTGTATAGGTCATTATGACTTAGCAATGTGTTGCTGAAGAAACTTTCAGAGTTGGTAGCTTTCTCCTCTGTAATGTATGGCTTATAGTAGTTGATGACTGATCTCAAAACCTATTGTTGACTTTTCAAGATTTTTGATCCTATCTTCTATATATATCTTCTGTATTTCTTTCCATATGAGAAATCAAAGTTATTTTCAAGATTTAATAACTTTTCAAGTACATAGAATGAATTTAAGATTTTGTATGATTGTCAAAGAAACAGTAATCAATATGGTTATTGTTTCTAAGGTGTTGGCATCTACATGAAATATGAGTTGCTGTGCTTACAACTTACAAGTTGTATGGGCCATGCTATCATAAAAGTCTTAGCTTATTTCCATGTCTCACCTAGAAGGTTCAAACCAGATTCTTAATTTGGAAAAGACATGAAAGTAATTTCACTTTGGTTTTCCCTAGAGCATCTGAGATTGCTGTTTTTTTTAGAATAGTGGAGTTAACAAGGAATTAAGAAAATTCTTTTCTTGTTGCATGAGGAATTTGAATACTGTATTTTCTTATCATGTTTCAATGGATTAAGAGAATGCATTCTATTAGCTAGTCAATAAAATTAACCTTTGCAAATTCTATGAATGGTGCTTAATCAATCAATCAAAGCCTTAATCCCATAAGTGGGGTCGTCTACATGAATCAAAAGTGATTATTCCATATAGTTATCCACACAAATCTTCCTCCTTCACCCCTCACGGTCAAATAACAATATCTCATGCACATCCATATGTTCTCATGCACATCCATATGCTTCATATCCTTCCTAACTCCTTCCAACTAAGTCATTTTCGGTCTCCCTCTACCTCGTTTAACATGAATGGTGCATGTATGATAAATATAATGATAATATGATATTTGTATTGAAAATAGTTGGGTAGACCCTTAAGCAAATAAAAATCAGCAAATTTGTTTTTTATGGCTATGTAGGGTGGCTCGTCTATTAAGGCTGAAATGCGATCTGGAAGATCCCATTGTTCGTCTCCCATGACATCACATAACTAAGAGCCGTGAAAACGGATCTTCCTAACAAAGTCATAGGGTGTTCATAGGCTTTCCTAATTAAAGTTTTGATTTTTGTGTACTTACTAGAGAGTGCTATCGGCATCTTGTAAATAAAAGAAGCTAAGAAAAGAAAGCCCTTCCCAAAAGAAAAAGAAAATAACACAGTTCGTGCATGAATATAAGTTTGGTGTCCAATCATACAATTCTTTTCTACACATAATTACATGTTTTCATTCCACATAACATTTAATTCCCATGATCAAAACCAGAATCTAAATAATTAATGCATACAAGAACAAAATAATTCTAATTTATATGCCCAATTATTGCCTATCCAATCTCAAAACATGCTTTGCTTTAAAAGCTTTTAACACATAATTCATACCTTTATCTTTTGCTTTCCCCGCAAAACGAGCAAACTAAAACTATTTTTAGAATTTTTTTTTAACCAAATTAATTTCGAAAATCACCAAAAATAATTGAATATTTTCGACTCCCTCTAATAAAAAATTTCAAACACTTTCAAAATAAAAAAATAATTTTCAGACATTCCAAAATTAAAAAAATTCGGACCCCTTCATTAAAAAAAATAAAATTTCGGACATAATTAGGGAAAAAAAAAAAAATCGAACTAAATTAGATTAAATGAGTAATTTAAATCCGAAAAATAATTTCAATTCAAAGCTTCCAAAATGACCTTTAAAATAAACACTTGGCCAAGTTAAACGCAAGGTACCTTGAAACACGTTTTTGGCTTTAGTGGTAACTAAAATTCAACCAAAGCTCCAAGATACCACTATAATTTTACCTCAGATATCCAAATTAAGCAATAGTGGATATCATCTTTTCGAATAATTCCTCTTTTATCTCCTAGAATCTTACATGGATTGGAATTGATTGGACCCTCCCGCCCCTTTCTTATATGTGACGTTAGGGGGTGACCTTTTGATACAATTACATAAAAAGCCCCAGGGGTTCCATAATTGAAAGAAGATATTTGTTAGAGTAGTTGTACTTGATTTCTTTCTCTCCCTCTCTTTTATAGAAAGAAATTCAGGCTGGATTTAAACCTCATTATAACCATGATCCGCACTAGTGCAATACATGATAATAAATTGCTAACTTGTTAATAAAATAAAGCAATGTGGGCATTCAAGCCTAATTTCTGACTCTGCACCAGCAGAGTTCCTTTTTTCTCAACAAATCACCTTGACAAACCACCACATCCACAGTTAAGTAATTTGTGAAGAAAACACAGTAAATGTGTAAAGTATCTTTAGTGTGGACAATGATACTGATACAATTGATTCCTTTGCCCTAATCGAGGATGAGGTCCTAAATCCCAGAGGTCACTTTCTTGGTGGAAGCAATTCCATAAATGATGAATTTTATAGCACAGAAGACTGGCAGTTCTATTGGAAATTGGGTGTCATTTGGGACCTCAAAGAACAGTGAATGAGTCATATGAGTAGGCTGATGAGAAAGCAGTCGTCTTTATGCCAAAGTGTTAGGTATGTATTTTGTTTTGGTTGGAGGAGAAAGGAGGTGTGGTTATCAAGGATAACTTTGAGTGATGGCACTTATAGCAGCTCATGCCCCATGCGGCGGGGGTAGTAGTTTCATAATGTGTCTACTTGCTATCCCACTTGTGTGATTTACATCTATATGAGCCTTGTGCCCCCCACTCTAACACAAATAAAGCCTTTGGTTTCATGGAACTTGTACTTGATGCTCTATACAAACGGTCTACGGTTTTGATTTGCAACCAAATGCGAAATTGTAGTTTCAATCCAAACTCCCCCCTTACAAGGCTTTTAGTTAAAAAGCCCTGTCAGATTTTTTATTTTTATACGTGCAATTTAATAATGATTCAATATTATCTTTTAATTGAACTTCATGCTTTGGACAGATTATTATTAAAAAAAATATGGCAAACTTTTCTCTTACTCTTTATTGGTATATTGTCTTGATGCCAGGTGAAAGGACCTGATGGTGAACAAATCCATGACACTCGTGACAAAACTAGTGAGAAGTTTGAGTTTATCGCCCACAAGAAGGGGGTCTACAACTTTTGCTTTACCAATGGGTCCCCGTATCATGAAACCATAGATTTTGATGTGCTTGCCGGTCACTATGGATATGTTGACCATCATGTAAAAGATGGTAATAGCTCAATACATTGCCTTATTTGAACAAATATTTTCTACTGTTTCATTTAAGGAAAATCTTATGAGACCAATGTGACAATTTGCAGAGCATTTGAGTCCAGTGTATGAACAGATTAATAAATTGGAGGAGGCTCTCTACAACATACAGTTTGAACAGCACTGGTTGGAGGCTGAGACCGATCGCCAAGCAATAAGTACGTTCTTTGGGAACATATTTTACTTTCAAATCATGCTTTATTTGAAAAAATTTCTGTTTCCTGTGTATTCCAAAAGTGAACCTTAAAGTAACTAAAAGTAGGTTTAGATCAAAATTTCCAAAATTAGACCTTTGCCAAAAATACGCAATTATTAGGAAAATGTTATTCTATGAATACTATTATTATTCATGAGATACAGTTTTAGATTAGTTCATCTTTCAGTCCTGCAAGCTATATATATATTTCAGAGCTGTTCTCTATGCTTATGCATAATAAAATTGAAATTGGATATTTTTGTTGTAATTCCCATTTTGCACTTGCCTAGAATTTGCCTCCCTATCTTGGAAGTTATATGACCAAATAACATCCAAAATTGCATGTTTGTAAACTCTGTTAAGGATAGGCAAGAATCAGTTTTATGCATTAGGGAGTGAAACTTAAAAAGAGTTAAAGTTATCTCTTGCTGGTTGTAGAATGAGCTGTAAATTGAAATGCGGAATTCTCCCTTATCGTTTAGCTTAGTTTATGTATGTTTAAGATTTTCTCTCTCCCCGCATACTTAAAAAAAATGCAGTTCTGGTGTACATTGTTAACAGCATGAGAAATATGACTTGAAATTTGCCTGATTTGGATGCAGTTAACGAAGGAATGAGCAAAAGAGCAATCCATAAGGCAATCTTTGAATCAGCAGCACTTATTGGGGCGAGTGTTCTCCAAGTCTATCTGCTCAAACGCCTGTTTGAACGCAAGCTTGGGACATCCAGAGTTTAGTGTTTTGTTGGTGAATGAATACCTGTTGCCCCCAATTTTAGAGCAGCTTCGTATAGTTCCCACTTTTGTGTTTTTGCCATTCCTTACTTTTTCCCTTCTTGCTATTTAGGTAGTTCAAAGTAGAAGTTTGGGTGGCAATTTTCTCTTTATGTTGAATTTTTTTTTTTTTATTATTTTTTTTTAAGGTTTCGGTTTCTTGTAGTCTGTAACATGTGTTGTACTAGTATCAAGTATATCTTGTATCTCTATTTATATTTGGTTAGCCGCACTCTCTTGAGATGCTAGTTGGATGTGCAAATGCACTTGAAAAGTCTCACAGAAGTGTTTCATGATTTCATATACTCAATTGATATTATGCCATTTCTAATTTATATTTATTTTTATGGTTTCATAGACATAGTAAAGCAATCTAGCCCATGTCAAAAACTTTTGTTTAGATCTCCTTGTTTCTTCTTGTTTTCATTTTATATTAATGTCCACATATTAATGTTCATAATTATTATTAACGGCAAAAGCTAACAAATGTCCGACAAGATAAATTAAAGTAGAAAATTAACTTGAAATACTCCGTAAACATTAATTACATTGATCACCGTGTGATTTTGGCATGTATTTTCAAATTAATACTCCGTACCATTTTGGGAACTATTTTAAAGGGTTATTAACGCCCCGGAGACGTTCGTTAGCAAGATCCAATGAGTATGGCCTTTCATTTATACCTTTGTGATAAACAAAATTTATGAAAAGTATTATAGGCAAAGATGAGCAATTAGGCCCCTACAACTTAATGATTAGCTGCCACTTTTTAAAAGTCTAATACAAGATGATGGAATTTGAAGTTGAAAACCATCACTTTTCACTTGTCAATGATAGTAACACAAAACCAACTGTTTAATAATCCAGCTGATGGACTTGCACTCACCATTCAGGTTAATTGCAATATGCAATGGATCCAATTCCATTTTTGAAATCAACATTTAGCTTATTATTACTTAAAGTCAAGAATACACATAAACTTAAAGATGAGATACAAAGAATACAGCTTATGCCCCCATTCAATTGGTCAGTCCTAGTACAACATAAAACAAATACTATCATATCATCTAAACTTCCAAACACTAAGTAAGAAAAAAAATACAAAAAACAAAAGCTACCGAAGTACGAAAACATTTGTACCACTAATACTTTTTTTTTTTTTTCTTTTTTTTTTTTTTTAAAAAAATGCTTGCATTATTGGAGCCATATAAAGGGCATAAAAAATGTCATAAATGACAGGTTGCATAAAACTTATTTCTAACAGCTCCTCCAACATTGTGATGAGCTAAGTCCTTAATAAGCCTGCAATTTAAAAGCATAATACAACACATTTCAGAGTTCTCTCCCAGTCAAATTTATTTTGTATCCTTCACTGAATGATACAAAAATATACTGCTGGAATTTCTATTTCAGAAAGTACAGAACTATATAAGGGCCAAAAGCAGGAATGAAGGTGCCCATTGATGAAATATTATTATTCAAAACTGCAATGAGTGAGGACTATTGCTTGGGGTTAACTTAAATATCAAGTCTTACAAAAGCTCTACAACAAGAGCAGATGCACCACCTCCACCATTACAAACACCAGCAACACCATATTTCCCACTTTTCTGTCGTAGTACCCGTAAAAGCAATGCAATTACAATCAGGAAAGAGTCAATAACAACCCTGTAAAAAGATACAGCCAACCAAAAAAGGGTTGCATTCAGATACTTTTGATAACTCGTTTTAACCTAATATACCCACTATTCATTGTATGAGGATAACAAAATTGTAACTGTGTCAAATGAGATGATTTTGAGATACATTTTTGCACTAAACTATACAAACATACACCATAAAAGAGCAATAAGAGTTATACCCCCAAGAGTGTCACGATGATTCGTGCTCCACTGCACCCAAGAGGGTGTCCCAAAGACACAGCTCCACCATGCACATTTACTTTTTCCTGCAGAATTGAAGGTAGAAAGTCAACAAACACCATCAAGTCGAATGGCTCAAAACCTTGTTAGCATATGAAGAAACCACGACACTAACGACAGCACAATGATGTGGACATGACACAACTTTATGCAAACATAATTGAGCGTGAATATATTGTTTTTTCAGTGTGCAAGAAATTTTAGGTCCCAGGAGACTGATCTCAGAAAGTCCAAGCAATTTCATGTTCGCAACAGAAATAACCTGCTCATGTCAGAAGAAGATTAATTAAAATATGACAGTTGCTCATAGCTTCAAGCATGACAAAGAAAAAGAGCACATGCAGCGAAAGCTTCATTTATCTCATAGTAATTAATCTGGGAAGCATTCAAGCCTGCATGAGAAATGGCCTTTGGTATTGCGAGGGCAGGAGCTGTCGTAAAATTCTCTGGAGCCTGAGCATAAATTAGGATTCAGAAACACAAAAATACCATGATGGCAAAACTCAAAATGCATATTAAAAAAACTTATTACCTTATAGGTAATAATAATCCTCCAAATTTTTTTACGTAAAACTCTAGAGTATGTTGTCTACAAGTAAAAAGTTCATGCAATACCTGAGCAGCATCTCCATAACCACTAATCTTAGCAATCACCTCTAACCCAAGCTCTAGTGCCTTCTTTCCACTCACTAAAACAATTGCAGCAGCACCATCATTGTCATCAAACAATAAAAATGTTAGAAAAGAGTGCATGCACTGCAAGTTTGCAACATTTGACTTCCCTACATATATATCACCTAACAAGCACAACATCCACGAGTAAGTGACAAACCTAATGCTAGAAGCATTTCCAGAAGTGCCTCCATCTGCTTTGAAACTTGGTCTAAGTTTTCTGAATTTGGCAGGGTCATACTGCAACACACAAGAGAAGAAAAAAGATGAACTCAAGCAGCCCCTGATAAAGATAGCATAAACAGAAATGAAAACTTTGGCAGAATACAGATGTAAAGTCATGATATGTCCCGAGAGCTTATAGGCTTTACTCAAATCAGTGCAGGTGAAGTGAAATGAGCCACTTGATGACCAGTTTTTTCATTCATTTTATTTTGATATAAGAAATTGAAAATTACATAGAAGGGGTACTTCTTGGCTACACCAGGACCACGTCAATAGTCTCCACAAAGGTCATTGCATTTTGAAGGCCATAGAAGAAAAATTGAATAGGAAAAGGAAAAGGGTTTTTGGTAAAATAATGAAAAGACATAGAGCATCAAACAATCAATATTACGAAGGGATAAACAAACATTAACGTACACATAAATAATTACTTTTTCAACATGAGATGTCATTGACAATGTTAGTTATCAATATTATACCTTAGTAGGGCCTTCATCTTTATCAACGACTGTTGTTGGTTTTCCCTTTCCACCAGAAACTTCAACCTGCACCGATACATATATATATCAGTATGAAACAATCACAGAAAAGAGAATGAAAATATAACAACAAAGTTATGCCCTTACGGGAACTATCTCCCATGAAAAAACACCAGTCTCCTGAGCAGCAATGCCACGCTCAAAGCTTTGGCAAGCATAGTTATCCTGTAGCGTCATGCAAAACAAGTATTTATTCATTGTATAAAATAGAGAAGAGATGCAATAGCTTTTAGCACTAAGGTTTAATTTAAAGGTTTATTTATAAATTGTGGTGATAATATGGATCAATCTCCAACTTTAAGCATAATTCCATCAAAAAGCAATTAGTTAGAGCAAGACATAGTTACCCTATATATGGATGGTACAAGCATTAAAAATGGAGTCAAGACTTTTCATCTAAGGTGAAGTGTGTCATGTCCAAGACGGGAACCCTTCCTGAAGTGTTGGCATATAAGGTGAGATGTATATTACATGCGCTAGTTTATGGGACATGAGAACAACAACTCTACACAGGTAAACATAAGACAATAATACATCATTTAGATAGTACTGTAGGGAGAAGGCGGAAGATAAAGAGAGAGAGGGTGGAGAAGAAAGAGATAGAGAGGGAGGATCGGTGGTCGGGATTTGGGGTTCTGGGTAATTCGGCAGTCGTGGGGTGGTTGGGGTTTTCGAGTTCGACGGTCATAGGTGGTCGGGGTTTGGTTTCTGCGATCAGGGGGTACGGTGGTCAGGGTTCTGAGTTCGGCGGTCTAGAGGTTGTAGGGGTATGAGTTTGACGGTCTGGAGGTGGTCAGGGTTCTGGGTTTGGTGGTTAGGTTAGTTATTTTAGTTTTTCTTTTTTCTTTTAGAATAAATCTAACATAGTTAAATTTAAGTAATCATTTAATGAAATAAGGTTATAAGGGATAAAATTCTTAAATAAGGTCATTTCGTATAAATTATTTTCGAGAGGGTCACCAATTCCGTGTAGCACAAATTAAGGGTTACCATTGAGAATTTCCTTTTTCTTAAAAAAAACTCAAGAAAAATAATCTACTGTATAAGAAATAACCCATGCATCCTCCAGGCCAAAAGGCTAGTTTAATTAATGAATAATTGGTGTAAATGAATTACAACTTACAACTTTACAAGAGCAGTATATAATGACGTAAGAATTTTCCACAGCTAAAATGTTATTGAACTCCCCTTCTTCAACCTTACCACCTCGATTTTTTCACTCGTATATAGTTCATCATCATGCAGTGGTTATGTACCAACCCTACCAACTTCATTGTATGAGAAGGCAAAAGAATTTAATAATTCTTGTATTTACAACATTTCTACAATTTATGAAGTGTATACGCGAATTCTACAATTTCTTAAGAAGACATTTGAATTCTTCATATCATAGTTTCAAATTTATCAAGTTTCTTCACTCTTTGCATGGACCTGATAAGCAAAGTCAGAAAAACACCTGCAACAAAATATGCAGTCATTTACTACCTTTGTGTAATGTATATAACAAAGAAACTTAAATGAAAATGCTTTTGCTGGCAGTGGAGTCTTACCTGCGCCTACAAATGAACTGTTAGCGACAATTTGACTTCCTTGGCTGCTGAAGGTGACCCCCAGGTTCAGCAGGGTACCGCCTAGAACTGTGTACATGGTTGCCATTTGCAATATTGTTGCCTTCCGAGCTGCTCTTTCAGACTAGAATAGTAGAGTGATACAAGTTTTACCCAAGAAGAAATTCAAAACAGAAATTAGTCACGTCAATTTGCATATGCTCTTTTATAAAGTAATAATATAAAGCTAAATTACCTCCTATCCATAATTTTTTCAACACTTAGTTATCCAAAGCACAAACAATGATGCATAGATGAAACGTCTGATTTTCTATAACAAGAATAGCTTTTGACCTTTTGTTGATATTTTTCACAAAATTTCCCACACAGTATCATAGTATGTATTAGAACTTAAAGCTTCTTTGAACGTCACTAGTCTTCCAAAAATGGATGAACCCATCGCACAGATCATATGCCTGTCCTATAGGCAATATCCCTAGACAATTGCCCTGAAATACAGATGCTGTTTAAGAATGTAGCTCAATCTCAACAGCTCCCTCAATTCCATGGTCATTTAAAGAAAATTTCTTACGTTAGCTCCATGCTAACAAGTCAGTGCTAACTAGTAAGTTCATATAAGGATGTATCATGTATGCAAGATCCAAAGTACAAATTCACAATACTGACAGTATATTAAACGAAATTAGGACATATAAGACACAACTGCCCTGTCAAAAAAAAAAAAAAAAAAAAAAAAAAAAAAAAAAAAAAAAAACACAATTGTAGGCTATGAAATGCACAGCCGCATCCACCCATCCCAAATGCAACGAGTAAAATGAACTCCATATGCTTCCATGAATCAAATCACCAATTATTGACACGAATGTAAACTAAGGCCTGCTCCATTCTAGCTAGGAATCACATTAGCTACACAAAGCATGAGAAGCCATCGAGATATCTATGTATGAAAAGTTTAATCTAAGTTACTCAGGCTTGGCAGCTACTGTTGGTAATGGAAAGAGTGAGGCCTAATTAGTTAATGAATAATTTTGCAGGATTTTAGTCCAAACTGAATAGTCAAGTGTCCATATTCACGTCACCGTGTTGAGTACCCAGCATGGATACATATAAGCATTCTAATTATTAGGGAACACTTATGGCATGCATCATCCTACCAATTGCCAATTGGCAGGTGCTGAGTACTTATTTGTTGCCTCTCTACACAGTGGTCATGATAACTAGGAGATCCTCACAACTCAAAATGGAGGTACAATGTAACTTTCCATTATAAAACCTTTTTAAAGGGTAAAACCTCACATCCTCTCTTTCCCTCCTTCACATTAGAATTATACAGCATGTAATTTACAGAGCCTTAACTTCAAGTGTCTCAAATCCATGGTCATACAGAACGACTACATGAGAGCTAAAAATTACGGTTGGCAGGGGTTTACCTCAAGAACTCGCACTCGTAGCTTTAAGTCTCCTGTTTCTAGTTGCTTCACAAACTCTTCTATGCGCTGGACTCGGTATGGCATGGATACTGTGTAGTCTCTGGCCTGCAAATATGAGATAGGATTGACGGATTGTAAAATCAACTGTCTGAGCAATTTAGGAGACAAGAGACTAATAGCAAGGCAAAAGATTTGCTACATCTTCAGCTTGTTTCCTTATCTCCTGCACAAGTTGAACTCCTGTACGACGCCTGTCTTTCAGGTCAAGAAGCTCCTGCAGGGAGTTCATATACAAATTAGATCCTGCTGAAAGAAATATTGACATACACATAAGTACTAGATGATAACATTATGCTATATTTATCTCCATTACACATACTTGAGCATATGGTGCAGCAATCTTCACAAAGGAGAAATCTGGGTCAAGAAATTTGCCAACACCTAGAGGTAAAAAGGGGAAATTGTCAAATTTCATCATATAATCACAAAATAATGCTCTCTTGTAGCAGCAAGTAAGTTATTTACAGTCAATTAACTCAAACAACAAAACTGGTGGGATATGGATAAACAACGGGAAGATTAAAGAGCACACTAAAAATTTGCAATCTAGAACACCCTTTTAGCTTATACCTTCAGTTTCTAGGTTCAAAATCTCCTGTAATCCTTCACTGACTGAAAACAAAAATTAGTTACCCTCTAGCAGGAATGGGGTAGGATAATGAGCTAGCAATCTAGAACCTGACGATTGAAGTGAGCTATAAGTATATAATATGATGATCGAGTGATTTCTATATTGTACTCAATGTCAGGACCAGGTCTCTTAATGCTGATTTGACAAAATAAGATGCAGCACACAATACAGTAGCACACTCAAAACACTATAATCTCTAGTACATCAGTACATCCTGAACAGTTATGTTTAAGGATTCCAATCATCATAGTAAGAGAACACACCCCTATATAACAAATTAATCATCAACAAGGCTCATGTCTTTCTTTACTATGTCGGCAGTGTAACAGAAGAACACACCTTTTGCACTCTTCAGCTAAATTTTGCTAGCATGAGAAATTCTTATTCGTCCATTTTTATATATTAAAAAAAAAAGGACGATGCAGATCTGATCTAGCAAACTGTGGCCAACTGGAAACTGATAATATTTTATTGGCTATATGTGTGTATGTGCGGCGTGCCAGTGTTCTGATAGGAAGAGTCAGCAGAAGAATACCTTCAAGAGTTGAAAATGCCCTTAAGACGAAGGTAAAGGTAGATGGAAAGCGAAAGGGCTGATCCTGGGCAATAGCAAACAAGTCCTGGAATATTTGCAATTCATATAACAGAGTATATCAGAAACAAAAGGATAATTAACAGGTCAAAAGCAAGACCATCATCTGCGCCATATGGTAAAAGCATTCAGTAAAAATTCATCAGAGAAATTCCATACTTGGGCCATGTTCTCACCTTATTTTTGATGAACTGAAATTATTTTTACTGAATTGAAATTAATTTTACTAAACTGTAATTATTTTTACTGAACTGAAATTATTTTTACCAAACTGAAATTATTTTTACTTATTACTTGTATTATTTTTTAAGGTGAAGAGGGCCTTATATGGTCAAACAAGTTCCTACATCTAATAACTTCAAATATTTTCTGTTTAAATAAGCTAAAAGGTTCTTAGGTGAAAAGCACTCAAAGCTTTAACAATACAGATAAATATCTATAGACCATGATTAATGATTGATGCAGATAAGTGAACCCAATAGTAAAATAAATTTCCTCCCTTCCTTCCCCCCCCCCCCCCCCCCCACCCCCAAAAAAAAAAAAAAAAAAAACCCCTCTCACACTCAAAACCTATTAATAAAAGCAACAATGTGAACTGAAACCTGATACTTTATCCTGCATAACAAATTCAAGGTTATGTTGTGTACTTTTCACCATGTAAAAGGTAAATTTCTAATCTAATAAGTTCATATAAGAGTGATGTCACAACTAAATATCTAGGGGTTTTAGAAAATAATATCATAAATTTCTCAAAAATTGGATTCTAACACCACAAAATCTCAAATTTTTATTATAACACCACAAAAAAAACCCAAAAATTTGATTTCACCACCACTTAACGGATTCTTGGATGGAATCTGTTAGTGGGGCCCACCATATACACG